GTCAAATCAAACAACAACACGTTAAAGTAGAATGCTTGAGTTGAAAGAGGAGTATTACCTTCAGGGGTGCGGCGAACGAGACGGTAGCGAGCAAGACGAATTCTTCCACCACACAAATTCAAATCTCGAGCAACTGACCACCAAAATGCGAACCAAACGCAAACAAAGGCTCTCCCACAACTTAGGATTAGAGGAAAGTGTATATAATTTCTTGAGTTTAGGAGTCACTGTTCTAAAGAAAATCCAGCCCGTTTTTTACTCTTAATTTTCCAACTGAAAAATCTCTTTTTAAAAAATTCCCTCCCCTCTTAATACTGAAACAGTAAAGTCTTATATAGAAAGGAGCTAGGGTTCGACTTTGAGGGGGAAAATGGCTGAACTTCCAATAGAAAGGGCCCAATTTGAAATTCAAATCCTCAAAAATCTTACACCATTAAGGGACAACAAGCTTTTTTTTGAAATTTCAACTACATTCCGGAAAAGGAATGGAGGATGGACGGCTGGATCGATTCACATCGTCCTTGGAGCTCGACGTTGCCTCATCCCACAACCCCAAGGACAAAATAGCAGCTGGAAACACGGAAAAGTTGTACAAAAAATGTACCAGCATGCTGAAGGAGACGTTGGGGGTTATATTTCCATCTACCGCCGTGTCCTCTCCGTGAACTCGCCACCGCCTGAGGGATGTGAGGCGTGTATGGCATTGGTGGTGTCGTTCACGCATCTGCCATTTGTCAGCCGTGTATTGCTCTGTTTTAGGCGTCATTTGTTGTAGTTGACGCTACTGGTGGGTCTTCTTTAATTTGTTGAACAAGAAGTGGGCCGGGTTGGGAACATGGAATTGGGTTGAGTGATATTGTTTTGGGAATTTAAGAGTGGGCTGGACGGTTGTTGTTGATGATTATTGGTGTAATGGGCGTAAAGAAGGAGTGGGCCGGCTGGGAAAAGGAAAAAGGGCCCAAAATGATCTTGCAACGGGTTTAACGTTTGTAAAAATTATATAAAGCACATAGTATAATGAACAAATTACTTCCTGTCCCTACACTTTCATAAATTACGAAATTCCCTTATTTTTATTGTGTTATGGATACTTTAATATGCGGCCAGATACTTTAATTAAGAAGCTGTAATTATCAGGTTAGTGCGTTAAAAAAGGGATTTTAACAGATTTATGCGTTAATTAAGGGATTTAAAAATTAACTGCCGCAATTAACTCATACGTTTAATGCATCTGCAAATCGTTCAATCTTAAAACACTACTGAACTAAAATTTTGAAATTCAAATTTTGAAATTTTTATTTCTTGTTTTACGAAAAGCTCTGGAAATTCCAACATTTTTTTTTGGGTGAAGATCTGTAATGAATATTTCCATCTTGATAAGGCATTCAGGTATATGGGAAAGTGATGTTAGGTACGAGCAATACAAAATTGATGGCATAGTGGTGGGGGAAAATATTTCGTTGGTTAATCTCAAATCAGCAATTGCAGCAGAATTGAACATTGATGAATCAAAAAAAAATATAGAGATCAGATACGTTGTAGAAGGTAATTCATGTCCATTGTGTATTCGGAATGATATGGGGGTGAAATTGTACATAGAAGTGAAGAAACATGAGGTAGAATTTGGTATGTATCCACTATGCATTGATATATCAGATAGAAGTGATGAAGATATACATAATTTTGATGCAACAACAGGTGCAATTGTGTGTGTTGAAGGTGGAAAAATGGACACAAAGGCTCTAAGCATTGTTGAATCGAAAATTTGTGATTCTTATTACATACCAGAGATGGAGGTGGAAAATTATATATCAGATACAAATATTTCTAATGTGGAAGTGAAGCAATTGTACAAGGATAAGGCAACTTTAATGGCTGTTATGGAAAAATATAAAATTAAGCATAGCTTCAATTTTAGAGTTAAGAGATCTGATAGCAAAAGGTATGTGATACTTCAATCTTATAAAATTGATGATTTTTTTGATATCGTGTTGATCATGATACACAAATAACGTGTGTATGGTGCAATTGTAGTTGTTAGGTATCATAAGGGTTTCTGCTTGACAGTTTAATTGAATTTTGAATGTGATATCGTGTTGATCATGATACACAAATAACGTGTGTATGGTGCAATTGTAGTTGTTAGGTATCATAAGGGTTTCTGCTTGACAGTTTGATTTGTATATCAAATATATAATATGAGTCGTCATTGAACTGTGTGCAGATTACAATTTAAGTAAAAGTCTTTGTAATAATGTTTGGTGTACTGTTATTTTATTGCAGCTACGTATTAGTATGTCATTCAGATGCTTGTTGTTGGGAATTGAAGGCGTCCGTTAGGAAAAATACGGACATATTCAAAGTGAGATACTTCAATAGTGAACATACATGTCCATTGAGGGATAGGGTATTAAGTAACGTTCAAGCTACTGTTGGGTTTCTTAGTGGTGTGACAGCTCCAAAGTTAGTGAATCATAAAAGAAAACATACTCCAAACGATATAATTGAGGATGTTAGGGCACTATATGGAGTTGAAATTTCTTACCAACAAGCATGGCGTGCAAAAGAACGTGCATTGGAGATGATTAGGGGTAAACCTGCAGACAGATACAAACAGATGCCAAAATACATATATATGCTGAACATTGTGTATCCAAATTCATATATACGTATGCACAAGTCGAAAAAAAATGAGTTTATGTATCTCTTCATATCATTAAGGCCAATGATGAGAGGGTTTGAGTTCTGTAGGCCTGTTGTTGTTGTTGATGCTTCACATCTTAGCAGATCTTATCGAGGGACATTTGTATCGGCAAGTACACTCGATGGGGCAGGTATGACATGTTGTTTATTAATTTGATTTTTCAAGATAGTAATATAACATAATGGAACAATCATATATAAAGAATCGTAATGGTATGTGTTTCAATTTGAAGGTTGTATCTTACCGTTAGCTTATGGAATTGTAGACACGGAAAAGATTGTTCATGGACATGGTTCTTCCAACACTTTAAAAATGTATTTGGTGATAGAGAACAAATGTGTGTTGTATCAGATCGAAATGAAAGCATATTGAAGAGTGTAAGTATTGTTTATCCAAATATTCCTCATTTCGCATGCATATGGCACCTCTGGAAAAATGTGTGTACATACTACAAGAGAAGCAGAACCATACTAAGTGATATTTTCTATTCGATGGCAAAGGCTTATCGGAAAGATGATTTTGAAAAATTAATGGCTAAAGTGGAAAAAATAGATGGAAGAGTTAAGAAGTATCTTCAAGATGCTGGGTATGAAAGGTGGGCTAGATCTCATGCAACTGTGAACAGGGGGAGGATGATGACTTCGAACATAGCGGAATGTATAAATGGTTGCCTTGTTGATGCACGACAATTACCTATTATAGACTTTCTGGAAGAAGTTAGAATTCTATTTGGTACTTGGAATTGCAAAAATCGAGAAATAGCATCTTATACAAAGGAAACATTAGGGAGAAGATTTGAAGAAATATTGATTATAAACGCGTCCAAATGTGTGAAAATGAAGGTACATAATTGTATTATCAATTTTTATGATTCTAACTTTTCTTCTCGTTATATTGTTAAGTATACCAATTACAAATTCGTTTGATGTATCTGTAATTTTTAAACATTTGCAGGTAGTTGCATCTTCTGAATATATCTTTGCAGTGTATGAAGGTGCGATAAGATACATTGTATGTCTTGAAAGAAAAACTTGTTCATGTGGTAGATTTCAACATGACGAGATACCTTGTGCGCACGCAATGGCTGTTTTGAAGAAGAAGAATATTAAAGATGTACATCCCTACTGCTCTGATTACTATAAACATGATGCATTAACAAACACTTATGCACTTCCAATAGAACCAATGCCAGACAAAAGTGATTGGATAGCTCCAGAATCTGTTTTGGAAGAAGTAGTCTTGCCACCAAGATACAAAAAAATGCCTGGAAGGCCAAGAAAAAAGAGGAAGAAAAATCCATATGAAAAGATTACCACAAACACGAACTGTTGTGGACAATGTGGACAGGAAGGTCACAATAGAAGAACATGTACTTTCTTCCCAAAAGATTCGTAATGGTTACTATTTTATGATTCAATAAATGAATAATGTTATGTTTTTGGCAACATTAATTGATTGTCAATTTATTATAAAAATTAGATTGGTATACTATGTGCTTTTTATAATTTTTACATCGATTAATAGTGTCAAATAGCTGTGATGTGTGCCAAAGTTAATAGAGACAACATTTTAAAAAGGTATCATATGAATCAATTATATATCATATACATAATATTATTTCTAAATTTTGCATCTACTAATAATAGAATATCAGAATTTGTTTGTTTTACCAATATTATATATCATATACATAAAATTTCGATATTTATGGGCGAAATTTGAGTTTTCATGCACAAAAATAGTTTTCTGGAAATTAAGTATAAGATATTTAAAAATTTAGATTGATTTTAGTATAAAATAAGTATATGATACTTTATATCTTTGAAACTTTGTCATGAAATGATAAAACTGTATCAATCTGAAATGTTTTAGACACCTATGTATCATATACCTAATATTTATGTAATTAAAAAAAAATTAGTATCATCTTATAATCTTATAAAATATAAATTGTACAGTGTTGTGTGAACAAAAATTATGTCATTTTAAGATACTTTATTTTTTGTATCATATACTTAATATGATTGATGAAATTTTGTATCGGATTCACTGTTGTAAAATCTGCATTGACATGTATAATACTTATAATATAGAAAAATTAATGTACGGTATTAAAATGCAGTGAAAATTAATTTAGAAGCGACATAAAAATTGTGAAAATAACTGCTCTTCAAAAATATAATAATTAATTACTTAGAAATATAATGTAGACCTCAAGAGGAATACTACAAAACACTTAATGTATCTTCAAAACAGTAAAACTTCACATCTTTACGGTAAGTCAGTCAATAAACAACTAATCTACATTAAACAATTCATCATCTGGCAATATTATGGAAGCAACCTTTAGCCTTATAGGATCATCATTCTGGCTAACGTATCCAGCATTGGCCTTGTCGGTACCATATTTCCATAATAGTGTTGCATATCTTGAGCGAAGATATTCACTTTGAAAAGGAATCGATGGGACCTTGATTTCATCGCTTAGAAATTCAGCAAAAGCAGCTACATATGTTCCGCAATCGCTGAAAACATAAAGAAGATACATTATAAATTGAAGGAAATGTGTAAATAAAGCTGGGTGGATTAAATACTTACAGGCTATCGCTTTTTTGTTGCATAATGCCTCGAGCAAATTCCACTTCAAACGGATGTTGTGGACCCATCAATTCACCAGTTTTGTTGTCTTTGTATGCATCCAATGTAGCCCAATCAATTCTGTCGGTTTTATCAAAGAATCCACTATCATGAAGGTAGTTAGGCAGGATGATAGACAACTGTTTTATCTCATCACATTGACTTTTGTTCCTTGTTCCTAAATTTGAGTCATAAACTCGGATTAACCGGCTCCTTAAAACAACCACAGCCAACACCCAATGAAATTCTTCATCACAGTTGATCGGAATATATACCTCATCTACTAGATGCCATGGTAAAGCAGCAGGGACAGAAAAACCATTGATGACTTCTTTGATGGACCTTTCATATACAGATACAACATCAGCTCGGGCAATGTGTTGCTGTGTACTGAGAGTATCATCTGCAGGACTGCAATAGTACCTTTTGTATGCATTTTTTATATAGGTATTGAACAAGCAGTTGCATGTAGTGTATCTGTATTGATCCATGCTTCTTAATTTTGACGTCTTGCGTAGATAGTAAAAAATTACATCTATGTGCTGCAAAATTAAAGAAAAAAAGAACACAATACATAAAACAACAATATATGATAAAAAGTATATGATACATAATTGTATTGTATATTGTACCTGATCAGTCCAACATTTTTTTGGCTGTGACATAGTATAAAACCAGTTCTTGTCCAAAGGAAATGCGACAACAAAATCCATATAATCAAAGCCAAATAGAGCATTTTTGCCTCTATATTTATCATCCGAAGGTTTCCTATGAGAATGATTATAGCAACATAAGAATAAGCTAATACAAAATAATAGTATAGAAATAATATAAAACGAAAACTTACTTATTCGAATATGTTTTGCGAACAAGATACATTAATAAAAATACTTACTTGTTTGCATGTGTTTTGAGGAGTCCCTTCTGTATCCACTGGGAGTATTCTTGCATTAAAAATGAAGAAACTTGGTAGGTAATGCCACATCCTTCAAATGGAGTATACGGGCGAATGTCATCGTCTATTTTCCCCTTGCTCTTATCGCTGGATCCAAAAGTATTCACATAAGGAGACTGCAAAATCTTTGATGGGATTCTGTTACGTGGAGCTGGAGTCTTTGTATCAAAATTGTGTGCAGATTCCTTGATTGGAAGTTGGGTGGGTAGCTGACTATCAGATAGAAAATCTTCACTGTTGGTTAGCTGTGGAGGAATGATTACACTCAGTGGTGCGACATTAATTGGCTCGTTTGGAAGTTTGTAGACAATTGTATCTATGACTATTTCAGTGCCAGATGGAATAGATGCCGCTTTGGAAGAATCCTACATGATATCAGTAAATTATAAGAAAATAGTACACTTTATACGCAACTGTTGACATTTGCATTAAACAAGTTAGAATCAGACAGATGTATCAACAATTACTGGATTTGAAGCATGTCTTTTGGAGTCTTGTTTAATTGAATCAGCAACAACTTTATCACAGCTCAATACTTTTGTGTGCAATTGTGTGACCTTATGTACTGCATCCTCCTAATAAACAGAATATTACACAGCATTGCGATTTAATTTCAAAAATGATTAATTATAACAATTCAAAAGCTCTTAACTTACCACTTCCTTATTATGAACAAACTCTTCTATCGGAAAATCACTATGGTGTATTGTGGGTATAACATTTGTTGAATCTTCCATAGTCTGATCCTTAATGGATGTCTCATCAATCTGTATTTGTAAACAGATATATTAAGATGCAATTACAAAGTATTAGCTACTAGTGATTCAAAAAAAAATTATAGTATCAACCGAGATTTAAGTGTTTACTGTACACCAATGATACACAAAAAAAACAATGATTATTTCATTATATGAATTAATATTAATAAAGTATCAGTCATTTGTAAATTATACATTGTTAATAATTTAATTTTAATGAAATTAACTAATGATTGAAAGTCATTAAGTTGTATAATTAAATTCAAGTATCATATGCATACCTTTGCAACATTTTCTTCGTTAACATGTTGTTGTTCAACCTCCACTTCATTTGCATCAACATCATGATGAACAGTTGCAAAATCCTTATTGAATGGCTCTTTAATCTATGTTTGTAAAACAAAATATAAGGAAGGAATTATAAAGTATATGTAAATTTAAGTATCATATGTATACCTTTGCAATATTTTCTTCATTAACAAGTCGTTGTTCAACATCCACAGCAGATGCATTACCATTGTGATCAACAGTTGCAAAATCCATGTGCATAGGTGAAATGGGTTGTTGGAGTAATTGATCAGAAGCAGATTCTAAATCAACATTACCTTTGACTACTGCATCATCCACTATATGTGGCATAGAAATGCCACCAATGTCCTTCATGATGCAAAAATTGAGTATAACACAAAACTAAAAAGATAATCTAAAAAATAAAAATACTACCTTATCACTTTTGTTATCTTTCGCGGCCACTGCTTTCATCAACTCAGAATGATTTTTTATAATTAACGCCTCAAGAGCTCTAATTTTTTGGTCAACCTGAATTCAAATTAAGCATAGTAAGTGAGATTATAAATAACAATGAAAATGTTTAAATGACATAGTTATGTTTACTTACATAAGACTTAATGTGACCCTCTAGATCCTCGAGTCTTGCATTGTCCAATGATGTTCTTCGGGGAACTGTATTAAGATGAACACCAGATACATTATCAAACTTTAGGGGTTGTGTAACCGGAGTTTGAAATGGGTGATTATTTTGTACGTTTGGTGTTGTCTTTGGCACATTATTCTTTGTTGGATGTGCAACCTTTCTTCTCTTGGGGGGTGGGGTGGATCCTGTGGTAGAAACACGTGTGCATCTCCTTAACAGTTGCTCCGGAGGTTTTGATGAAAACTCTTCAAAACCAGAAACATCGTTTGGTTGCACCTCTTCCTGATTAACAACTGATGTGGCTGGTCGATTTGGAGGTACATGACTATTATTTGGTAAATCAAGTGATTCGATTTCCTCTTGAGTTGGCTGCACGTTAGAACAATCATTCTATAGAAACAAAAATTAAAACATCGTTAGAACTATTTAAATAATGTATCACAAATAAAACAATAAAATAAAAACGGATGCTATATACTAATTACCTCAGTAAAGATGTTTTCAATAAACATCTCGTATTTAGGCCTTGCACCCACAACTTTCCAATTGCATACTCTTGGTATACCATTTCCTTCTCTAACAGCTATCTCGTTATGCATTGCCGACGCACATTCATACACCCAAATATTAAGTGCGTATGGAAATCCATTCAACCGATACATTTGTTTGTCAGGTTTATACTCTTTCCTAAATGATTTCATTAACCTCGTGAAGGCAAGTTGTCCCCACGGAAACTGTTTATAGCTGCCATCTTCTACCATAAAGAAATCTTCTATAGGAATTGGTGCATCACCGAGTTGGGAGAAAACAAACGTATGAATGAAATACAATATAGCCATCTGAAGAGCATCATCACTGCTGTCCCAAATACCTAACTCAAAACGATCTACCAGCCGTCCTTTGGTTACGTTATAATTTGGACCAGGAAAGTATCGCTGAACCAGCCTACTGATTTTTGAAATAGGATATGTAAAATCTTTAACATTTCCGGTACACTTGAGACCAGTAATAATTGCAAATTCTCTAATAGAAAATTGCAATACATTTCCTTTAGCATGTCGAATATGGATTTCTTTGTCCAAATTATCATGCTCAACCTCTAGAAGATATAAACATTTGGTAATTTGTCCTTGGTAGTGGCACTTGGGGATATTAAGGTACTGGCCAAATATGGTATCCTTAAACATGTTCATACCTTCGTCCTTTATTGACAATTCTAAATTTTCTTTAAAATTAGAATTGTAAGTAGGACCAAACTTTAAAGGTTGCTTTGGAATATGTTTAATCACATATTTCATATTCTGCAATTACAGAAAGATAAATGATGTTCATCAATAACTATATCGATAAATGATGCATACATAACTAAAAGGGAAATATCATAATTGATTCAAAATATTATGTTTCAGATCATTTTATACTTAGTATGCCAAAATTGCATTACTGACACAGGAAATCATATTACTTATGTATATACATTGGCTTCTATTTAAACATGATACAAAATGTTAACTTACATATATGTTAAATTCTGTTTTCGCATCATTCATGTGCATATCTACGAATATGATACATTGTACAACAAATAACCTCTATATCATACAACGAATTGAACGCCTATCTTAAATACAAATCGCAGCACACAAAACTTGCCTTATAAAATAAATAATTATTTTTCTATCATCTACATATATGAATCATAAGTAAAAGATACTTTATTTCAACCATGCAACCTTAAAACCAACAATAAGATATCAGCAACTGATAAACAGATATATGAATCGAAAATTAACAGATACTTTATTTCAACAACCATATCTTTCATCTACAAATTTAAAAGTAAAACTCAAACCCCAACAATCAGTGTTTCTACAGATTACAAAACTTGCCTATCTTAAATACAAATCGCAGCACACAAAACTTGCCTTAAACTAGTCTTGCATCTACAAATGTAAAACAAATACTTATTTTTCTATCATCTACATATATGAATCACAAGTAAAAGATACTTTAATTCAACAATTAAACCTTAAAATCAATAATAAGATATCAGCAATTAATAAACAGATATATGAATCACAATTAACAGATACTTTATTTCAACAACCATATCTTTCATCTACAAATTTAAAAGTAAAACTCAAACACCAACAATCAGTGTTTCTACAGATTACAAAACTTGCCTATCTTAAATACAAATCGCAGCACACAAAACTTGCATTAAACTAGTCTTTCATCTACAAATGTAAAACAAATACTTATTTTTCTATCATCTACATATATGAATCACAAGTAAAAGATACTTTATTTCAACTATGAAACTTTGATATCAACAAGTAACAGATACTTTATTTCAACAATGAAACCTTAAAATCAACAATAAGATATCAGCAATTGATAAACAGATATATGAATCACAATTAACAGATACTTTATTTCAACAATCATATCTTTCATCTACAAATTTAAAAGTAAAACTCAAACCCCAACAATCAGTGTTTCTACAGATTACAATATACACTAGATACGTTTATTTTTCAACAATGTGTAAAATTAAAAGCAAAAGATAGACATACCATGGGTAGTGTTGGTCGTAAAATGGGAGGGGCAACCTTTCTACCCCTTTTCTTTTTAGTTTTTGCATCCTTTGCTTTAGATGATGATCCCACTTTCGTTTTCGATTTTCTCTTGGAAGAAGTTCGATTCGCCATTAATGTCGTTGCATGCAAGCTTTTAGACCTCTGTTCATTCAAGTTTCGGTGTTCAGATTCAAAAATTTGTTCATTGTTAGGTGTTATTAATTGGGAAATCCCAATATTAAAAGAGGGATGATCCATTGTGACAAATAATCCAAAATCGATTGAAACAAAAAATTGATTTTGAAAGAAAAATGAAGAAGAAGAAGAAGAATACCTATTTTGAACTTTGACACTGTTGAATCGTTTGGAAATCAAATTGCTTTGAAAGCGGTAACTGATTTGGTAGTGGGAGAGATTATAGGCGAGATTTTGGGGGTGAGGAAGATGGGTTTGATTTCTTTCACAATAAAGTATCCGGAAAATAGGAATTGGGGAAAAAATAGGGATTTTTGAATTTTTATGAAAGAGAAGGGATTAATTGATAATAGGTAAACATATGTAGTGTACTTTAGTAATTTTGCTTTTGGCAAGGAATGGATTGGATTAAGAATTGGCCAAATGATTTGCAAAATTAGCCAATTGAATTTAGAATGTAACCAAATTGAATTTGATTAGCAAATTCGGCCAAAGTTCAAATAAAATGAGTTGACATTAATTAATTAACGAGCTTCTTAGTTTTGACAAGATAAAATAACTAACTTAATTATAAACTAATGATTCAAAATATAAACTACTCGAATTTTTTTTGAAATTCTATAAAGTCAATTAATTAACTTGTTTGGAATTTAAGAAGCTCAAAATTAATTATTATCGAGGGGGAGGGGCTCGAAATTGGGTGTCAACATATATAATAGATACACATGCAACCCAACGACTATTTCATACCATATCATTACTTTTTTGTTTATTTTTCTTAAAAGATTAATCAAGATACGACCCGTTAAATAATTAAATGTTATAACATACGTAAAGAACTGATCTGTTTGACATTTCTGTTAAAAACTGCTTTTTTAAAAGTATATTTTTTTTGAAATACTTTTAACTTAAAAGATTATATTTATAAACTGAAAGTCGAAGCAAATCTATAAAAAATAAATTCAATACTACATAATAAATACACATGTAACCCTTCATATATGTATGTATATATATCCTTTATATTTGATTTTTTTTCAATTTCCTCACTTACCCCAATTATTATTTTTGTTTATTTTTTCTTATAAGATTAATTCAAGATATGATCAGTTAAATAATTAAATCCTATAACACATGAAAAGACTGACTTAGAAGGTTTAAATTAAAAGATTATATTTATAAATCGAAAGTCGAAGTAAATATATAAAAAATATCAATAGTACGTAATAAATACGCATGCAACCCTTCATATATGTATGTGTATATATCCTTTATATTCGACTTTTTTTTTTCAATTTCTTCACTTACCCCAACAATTATTTCATACCATCATCAATGTTTTTTTTTTAAAAGATTAATTCAAAATATGATCAATTACACATGTAAAAGACTAACTAAGAAGGTATAAATTAAAAGATTATATTTATAAATTAAAAGTCGAAGTAGATATATAAAAGAGTCAATACTACGTAAAAATACACATGCAACATTTCATGTATGTATGTGTATATTTCCTTTATATTCGACTTTTTTCAATTTCCTCACTTACCCCAACGAGTATTTCATACCATCATTATTTATTTATTTATTTTACAAAGAGTGAGATTATTTTAATTATATATATATATATATATATATATATATAACGTATGCCTCAGTGATAATATTTCCTAATTTATCTGTTGAATATAACACAAGTATAATTGTATGTCCATTCAAATTTTAATATAGTGAGACAATTGCGATCTAATCATCATGATAGAGTAATTTTTTTTTGCATACATCTTAAAATGACAATGTATTTCCCATCAATTATAATATTTCCTAATTTATATTTGTTGAGATTAAAAAATTAACAAAAGTATCATATAGAACGACTTGCGATCTAATTATCGCAATAGAGTAAATTTTTTTGGCATATTCCAACCATATTTATCATTGTTTTTATAGTCTTCATATTTTTAGCAACCATATAAAAAAGAATCTAAGAACGTATTTCTCCATTAGAATATTTCTTAACTTATCTATTGAGTATAAAATTTTAACACAAGTATTATTGTATGTCCATTCAGATTTCAATATAATAAGACTTGTGACCTAATTATCGCGATAGAGTATTTTTTTTTTATACATCAAAAAATGAATTTCTCCTTCACATAGTAAATCAACACACACTATCACGGTAATTAAGTCCAAGTCTTATTATATATATTAGCAATATGTTGCTAATGAATTCTTTGGTGGACAAGGAAGTCCCACAGCTAACAGAGAAAGAATAAGAATAATTGCAAGAGCAGTTAGAAAAATTACAAATTTGTAAAATGAGTTATATTCAGGAATACACTTGTGAATTCGAGGAATATTATTATAAAATCTTTGATAGTGGTAAAGAAATGATACCATATCTTGAAAAATATTATCAAAAATTGCCAGGCTTTTGGGCCAAATACTTCAGAGAAGAATACGAAAAAGAAAATAAAATAGGAGACACTCTAGGTCAAAGAATAAGTTTCCTAAAAAATAGACTTGGTCAACTATGTATGTCACATAACATACAAAGAAAAGCTAAGAGAATTAACACACAAATATACTGTATGGATACAAATGCAGCCTCCCAATGGGGATGCAATAATAAACCATATAAGAAAAGAAAACTTAAAAAGAGTTTAATGAAAAGAAAGAATTTTTCTAGAAAAGATTATGTACCTAGAAAAAAATATTATAAAAAGAAGAAAGAATTTATAAAAACAAAACCCGCAGATAAATGCAAGTGTTACAATTGTGGAGAAGAAGGCCATAAAAGTTACGAATGTAACAAAAGAAGAGTAAAAATCTCAAAAATTGATAGAATAGAAATTGATTCTGATCTCGAATCAATAAAATCAATTAATAATGATGATTTCTTCGAAGAAATTTATGAAGAATACTCAACCAGTTCAGAAGAATCTGATGAATAAAGAAATTCAAGAAAGGGAAGATTCAGTTCAAATCCTAGAAACTGAAGAAGATCATCGAGGATATGCTTTAAAAGCCACCTTTGATGGAGAAACACTCAGAAAAATCCAAGGATTAAAACTAAACCTTAAAATAGAAGATAATCTTCTAAGCAGAATGCAAAGAATGTTTGCAAGAGATAAAATTTCCTATCATGAATATCAAGAAATAGAAAAGGTAATAGAAATTACCCAAACAACAGGAAAACATAAACTAAACCTGTTAACAAAGCCTATGATTGATCAGATTCTTAGGAAAATTCCGGAAAGAAAAAGAAAAAAGATGAATTATGTTCATCTAGGAGGAATCCAAATATTAGTCAAATCGACTTTCAAAGAAGGAATTAATTGTCCAATAGTAATAAATCTATCAGACGAAAGATTTATTAATGCAAGAGAAGGAAATCTTGGTATAGTAGAAGGAAATCTAGCATACACAAAGCTCCCTTTTCACATATTACCCAAGATATTGTATCTCACTCAAAGATGCGGATTTCAATGACGCACTGAGTTTACACTTTCAGATCAAAAGAAATGATCTATTCAAACCAGGTAATCATATAATGAGTATATATTACCAAGCCTTGTACACAGTTACAAATTCTAACTATGGTAAAGTATATAAAAACAAAGAAATGATTGAAATAGATCAAGAGTGTGCAAGAATTGCAAGAATTGTTGAAGCAGAAATTCAGCAAGCACAAATTCCAGATGAATATGAAATTCAGTTTGGAAAAACTCAGGAAATAGGAAGTACTAGTAACCCTAGACTTTCAATAGATTACAAAAGGAATTCTATTAGAAAAAGCATATCTAACAGATATTCTGTAAAAAACTTAGAAATTTCAAATATCACCAAGATAAAAGGAAGAATCTTCAATGGAATTGAATGGAAAAATCAGGAAATCTTAATACAGACTGGTGCAACAGCTAACCATATAAAAGAAATTCTACTAGAAGGAATATCAATTTACGAAGGAAAACATTACACTTATAAAACCTTCGAAGGAAATAGCTTTAGTTGTAAAAATATGGTAGATTTACCTATACAACTAGATACTATAAGAATAACAGTCCATTGTTATATTACAAATCATGAAAGTGATCAAGATTTAATATTAGGAAACCTTTTCCTAAATAAATTAGAAGATTATAGTATAGGAAAAAATGGCATATAAATGCTATATAAAGGTGAAACTTGTTTCATATCAAAAATATAAAATGCCTAAGGAAACAATCTTTAAAGTATCAGTTTTCATAGAAATAACATTTTATGATACAAAACTAACAACATGTTGTCAAATAGACAATGGATCTGAAGCAAATCTATCAAAATCTTTTTTAATAAAAGATTGGGAAATAAACAAAAATAATATACACTACAAAAAAACCCCAAATTACCAACTTATTTTACTAACAACTTAAGTTGGTTAGTATTCTACTAACAAATTACCAACATATTTCTAACTGAATTATATTTTAAAACTTAACAACAGAATTCTAACATATTACTAACCAAAATCTTACTAACTAAGTATTTTAGTTGATAAATACGACGAGAAAAAATGGTGACAAATTTAGCAACATTCTATCAATGGATTACCAACTGAAATATTACTAACGCACACCTTTTGTTGGTAATATTACCAACGAAGTATATATCAGTTGGTAAATATGACAAAAAAATTGTTTATATAATTTATTAACATATTACCAATGAATAACTAACCAAACATTTTCCAACGGCAAGATTGTGTTGCTAAATTTACCAACCAAATATAAATGTGTTGGTAAATTAGTAACGAAATGTAATTTGTTGGTAAACTTGCAACAAATATCCAATTAGTTGGAAATTTTGCTGACGAATAAAGATTGTAGTTAGCAAATTACTAACATCATTAAAATAGTTGGTAATATACCAACCGATCATTAATCCATTGGTAAAATTTACCAACATATTAATTATTAGTTGGTAATATTACATATGAATGTTTAGTTGAATAGTAATTACTACCAACTGTGATAAAATTTATTGGTAAATTATTAACTACTAACTTATATTTGAATAGTTGGTAAATTTACCAATTGAAGTTAAATTTTTTGGTAAATCAACGTCTAGTGTTGAGGTTTTCATATTCAGTTTGTATCGTTAGGTGTTTTAACTTATAGCCAAAACTTGACTTTGGTCAATATTTTTGGTAAACGTGCTCAGATAAGAACTCTTTAAGTGTCATTAGCTTCGAAAGGTTATTTTTTATCTAACAGGAATGCTAGTTCAAGCTTTGAGGCTTCCGTTTTTTGTTTGTGCCGTTAGGTGTTTTAAATCTCATGTTTTTGCCAAAATTTGACTTTGGTCAATATTTTTGTGAACGTGCTCAGATGAGAATTCCGTCAGCGTAATTAACTCCAAAGGTCATTTTTTATCTAATAGAGTGGTTGGTTCAGGTTTTGAGGCTTTCATTTTTAGTGTGTGCCGTTAGGTGTTTTAACTTATAAATTTTGGCCAAAATTTAACTTTGGTCAATATATTTGATAAACGTGCTTAGATGAGAATTTTGCAAGTACAGTTAGATGCGGAAGGTCATTTTTGATGTAATAAGATAGAGGGTTCGGGTTTTGAGGCTTCCGTTTTTAGTTTGTGCCGTTAGGCATTTTAACTTTTAAGTTTTGACCAAAATTTCACTTTAGTCAATATTTTTGGTAATCGTGCTCGAATTGAAATTTTGTCACCGCGGTTAGCCATATAAGTTCAGTTTTGGTCTCATAGGATGGTTGGTTCGGGTTTTGAGACTTATTTTTAGTTTGTGTCGTTAAGCGTTTTAACTTTTGGCTAAAATTTGAATTAGGTCAATTCTTTTGGGAAATATGCTCAAATTTGAATTTCGTCAGCGCGGTTTGCTCTGGAAGATAATTTTCGTCTTATAGGATGGTTTGTTTGGATTTTGAGGTTTTCATATTCAGTTTGTACCGTTAGGCGTTTTAACTTTTAACTTTTGACCAAAATTTGACTTTGCTTAACATTTTTCGTAAACGTGCTCTGATGAGAATTCCATGAGCGATTAGCTTCAGAAGGTCATTTTTATATCTAATAGGATGGTTGGTTCAGGTTTTGAGGCTTTCATTTTCAGTTTGTGTTGTAAGGCATTTTAACTTTTAAGTTTTGGCCAAAATTTAGATTTGGTCAATATTTTTGGTAAACGTGCTCAAATTAAATTTTTTGATATAATGATATGTGTCATATTGAGATTAATTTAACTTGTTATCATAGATTTTGCATTGTTTCATTCAAATATGATTTATAAAATTGATATTAATATTTTTGAATTTATATTCGTGCTCTTAGATTTTTAAATGCAATAAATTAATAAATATTCTACTATTGAATAATCATTTAGTTAATAATATTTTGAACATATTGTCAATCAATTACTAACCTAACATTGAACTTGAATGATATATTACCAACAAACTAACAATCAATTAGTAAATTTATTAGAAAAATAAATAATCATACTAACGTATTTAAAATTTATTACCAACAAGGGTTGTGGTGGAGTGCTAAGTACTCTTTCATCCTTAACCAAGAGGTCTCAGGTTCAATTCCCCTTGGGTACGTTGTCGCCTTTAATTTGTTAGGTAGCGCTTTACCCCCCAATGTGGGACTTCCCAGCGTGAATCCGGATTTAGTCAGACTCCAATGTGGGTATCGGACACCGGATGGGAAACCAAAACAAAAGAGTATTTAAAATTTATTGGTAAATTACCAACATAATTTTTTTGTTACTAAAATTGCCAACCAACTACCAACGAAATCGAATAATGAAGAAATTTTTTTTACTAACTCCTTTTCAATTCGTTAGTAAAATCACTAACGATATACTAACCAAAAATTAGTTGGTAAATTTACCAACGGAAATTTCAAGGCAATGTTTCAAAATTTTGTAACAACATCTTTAGGTGTTTACTAATTGATTTTTGGTTGGTAAGTTTACCAACAAATTAAAATCGGTTGATAATATTTACTGACGAGCCTTTTAGCAACGGATTAATATAAGTTGGCATTTGGTTGGTAACTCAATTTGCCAACCAATTTGATCAATTTACCAACGAATTTTTTTGTTGGTAATTGGGGTTCCTTTTGTAGTGATATCAATGATTGAAATTACAGGGAATAAAGAAAGACTTTCAAAGTCTAAAGAAAAAGTAAAAATAATTTTAGGATCAAAAATTGTTTCTATAAATAAATTATTTGCTTATGATAAATTGGAAACAGATTTATTATTAGAAAATGATTTTCTACAACATTTTCATGATTATCACCAGACACTATATATGATAAGCCTTAAAACTCCTTGTGGACATTTCATAAAAGTCCCAAGAAAACAAAATCCTTATAATCTTGAAAAAGATAATGAAAATTTTAAAAGAAAATACTTAGAAAATCTAAGAAAAATCTCTTGTAAATGCCTTAATCTGGAAAAGATTAAAGAAAATTTGCAAAAAACTTATGGAGAAAATCCATTAGAAAAATGGGAACAAAATCATGAAAGAGCAACTTTAACTCTAAAAGACCCCAGTATAATCATCAGAGTTAGACCTATGTTCTACAATGAAGAGGATAAGATTGAATTTAAAATTCAAATTAAAGAATTACTCAACTTAAAATTAATAAGAATGAGTAAAAGTCCTCATAGTAGCCCAGCATTTATGGTAAGAAACCATGCTGAAATAAAAAGAGGAAAAGCTCGAATGGTAATAAACTATAAAGAGCTAAACAAAAATTGTTTATTTGATGGATATTTTATTCCAAATAAAAACATTTAATTAACCTTGCAAAAGAAAAAATTTATTTCTCAAAATTTGACTGGTCAAAGAATAAGTTTCCTAAAAAATAGGCTTGATCAACTATGTATGTCACATAACATACAAAGAAAAGCTAAGAGAATTAACACACAAATATACTGTATGGATACAAATGCAGTCTCCCAATGGGGATGTAATAATAAACCATATAAGAAAAGAATATAAAAGGCCTGACAAAAGCAACCATGAAAAAAATTCCTAAGGTACTCAAGTAGTATAAAACTTGAGACTATATATGGCTATCCTAGAGGTCCTTAGGTATTGTTTGGCATAGTTTTTTTTTGTGTGTGTATAATATGCAAAAACCTCAATAATTTGGGCGCTAGTTACATTCTATCTCGAATTTTTTTTAAATTATAATAATTTCAGAACTCATGAAAACATTGTTTCTTTGCCCGATACACAACAAACGATACATAAGTTATGTATCAGATATATAAGTTATGTATCAGAATTCAGATACATAACTATAAAACCAGATTCATACTGATTTAGGTTTGAAATAATTGGAGTTATGTATCAACAATAACATTTGTACCAGATACATTGTATACAAACCAAATTATAATATATGATAGATATGGAGTGATGTATCTAGATATTAAAAGAGAGAAGGAAAAAATAAAATTTTGTAATTAATTCAAATGATAGAATTTTTTAGAGTTTACAATTTTTATTTTGTTTGGTCCACCTCAATAAGTCGGGTACTGATTTATTTTTTCTAAGCAATAAAATAGTCTACAGATGAATATTCTTTAAAAAATAATACAATTACTCATCTAATTTCTCAATTTGATAATATCAAGTATCAACATCAAACAATCCCCTCATTTTAGCTCTTATTTCTCTAGATTTTCTTTTATCTAGTGTGATTTATATAAATTATAAAATACATTATATTTGTACCATATTTCTCTACATAATTTCTTAACAAACGCTTTCACTTTTGATATTTATTTATTCTGTAAATATTTGTACAATAAAATCAAATAATCAATACAATACTACATAAAAATGATTTTATCCTAATTTTTTGTCCTAAAATAACGATTTTTTCCAATACGTGCACAATAATATATGAAAAAAAGAAAATCCATTTAAAGAAAAATAATAAAAAAAGAAAGAAAATAGATGGCAAGACAATTAACATAGCAGAAAAATCATGTAGACTGCTAGAAGGCTAAAAATGTGAATATTTATACAAATAGATTGCTGAAATCCAGAAAAGGTCAAAATAAGAAAAATTAAGAATCACTTTGTCTTTCTTCCCTCCTTTCTCTTCTTATATATACGTTTTGTTTTGTTCATTCACTCTGTATCACAACGCCCAAAAATCTCTTCTTTGGGGTTTTTTTCAGTCTTTTTTCGTGATGGGGTTCCCCAATTCTAAACTTTCTTGAAACAAAGCCCCATTCTTGGCTTTGTGTCATTCTTGAGATTTGCTAATCTTGATTTGTGGTTTTTGATTGAAAGTTCAAAACTTTATTAGTTTTGGGGGTTGTTTCTAGGGTTTTTCTTTACTTGTTCAAATGGAATTTACCAAAATTTTGAGCATTTGTTTTCAGTTTTGAATCAGCATTTGCTCAATTGGATGGTTTTAGGATAACCCCTTTTGATTTCTTGGATTAAAGATTGAAACTTTGTTCGAATTCTTTGTTTCCATCAGTTGTTTTTCTTGGTTTGTTGTTGTTTTTAGGTTCTGAATTGATTTCATCAACTTTTTTGGTGAAGAGGGAAGGTAGGATGAATAGTGTTTTGAATGAGCAGACTCTTGCAGACAAGCTTTCAAAGCTTAACACCACTCAGCAGTGCATTGAAAGTAAGAATCTTTTTTTTTTTTTTTTCTTTCTTTTTTTTGAATTTGCTATGTTTACCCCATTAATGGAAATGTTTGTTGGAACTCAGTTTCTGATGTCTCTTTTAGATCTTGGTAGTTGTTTCATTGTGAATTGACAGAATTGAGTAAGGACTTGTACCTCCAGTTGAATCTGACTAGTACTTGTAGTGGTTCATACAGAATTTTGTATAGGGATAGATGGTCTATCAATCTTCCCTGTTTAGATTAGTTTTTGATCTACTAATCTTATTAGTTTCACAGATGGTATTTGATTTGTGTGTTTACTTGTAAATGTATACTAAATTTACTTGATTGTCTTATTTTTTCATATTGAGAATCAACTTGGCCAGTTTGTGGAGTTCAATTGGATTTAGATAATGTAGACCTAAACAATAAAGACCTACTACAAGTTGAATATGTTTAATTCCATAAGAATGATTTATTTATTTTTTGGAAAATTGTTACTCAAATATCCTTTAGTTTAACTTTGAAGAAGTAATTAAGATACCAATTTAGCACTGAGGATGTATGTTTTAGGAGAAAAGGTGAAGATGGAAAATTCCTGCCCTTTCGTTCTCTATGTTTGATCTAGAAAGAAGTAATGCTGGTGCTGCATACATACATCTCATGTTTGCCAGTGTCCATTGAGATCAGTGACATTTGCTTTACCTAACTGACGTTGATGTGTGCTTCATTTACTTCAATCATGCTGAGATTTTGCTTCAGCTTGTATTTTGTTCTTGACAAGCTCCACATTTTAGAGCATTAACCAAAGTGTTGCTAAGAAGATACTTGTTTCTGTATCATTTGTTGATATAGTTTGGACGTGTATAAATGAAAACTCAAGACTTGGTAGAATCTGAATGATGTTTAATTAGGAATTGTCAAGGTGTGAACAAGTTAACTTGGATACCACCATTATCAAAAAGAAAAGAGTGGTGACTGTCCTTATAAACTGTTTCTTTTTTTTGAAATAGACTGTTATAAACTGTTTCTTTTTTGGTCATTATCGTTATACATAGCCTTGAACCCTACTTTTGGCGATCTAGGTGCATTCTCTGTATACATACATCAAGTACTTCTATGTACTTTATGGTATTTTGGCATTTGCAAATTTAAGTTATCTCATTTAATCTTTTAGGGAAGTTTTCATTGTATTTCTTAACTCTTAGGGGTAACTGCTTGTTACTTTTCATACCAAATCTCATCTTGCCTTTACAAATTAACTGATTCCCACCTCCCCTCCATATAAAGAAAAACAATTCATTCCTCTCTCCCACTCCATCTTGTTAGAATAAGATTGCATTTCTCCTATCTGAGGTCCACAGATTAAAGTAGAAGGTTGGGTCTTCAAACCTACTTTTAACTTACAAACAAATGGAGCTAATCTTTTACTCCTCCTATCCAAATTTATATGACATACTTCTTTAGCCTATCCCAGAAAAAGAATGTCACGCTTTCTTATTTTGTAACAATTTATCTTTAAACTTCTCATTTTACCTAATGATATGATTTATAGCCACACAAATGTCTGTCTTGTTTTAGACCATGAGTTTTAAAAGTAATTCTCTTTTTATTAAACTACGTGCCCAATCAAACACTACCACATAAATCGGGGCGGAGGGAGTAGTAAATTTGTCCATACTGATGATTGCTATGTATATTTAAATTTTGGGGCTTACATATGAAGTTCAAGCCTTCTCACTTGCAGTTTGAACTCTTCTTGCTCTCATTTGTGGAATGCACAACTAGCAAACTAAACCAAAAGGGCTTATCTTTCCATTCACATGTGTTAGTACATACCAGATAATGTCTCCCTTTTGTCTTGTTCTCTACCATCTTGTGGCTTTTCTGTTTTCATTTTGCTTCCATTTATAAATCCTTAGTTGCATATTGGCTGTGAACCTTATAAGATCATCACTTGGAGTGATACTTGGGGAACATTTCTTTTGCTTCTCTATTTGGTACTTTGCATCCCAATTCATACATTTTTAACTTTAACATTGTTTGTCTTGGTTTTTAATGCAGCATTGTCCCATTGGTGCATTTTCCACCAAGATAAAGCAGAGCTGGTTGTTACAACATGGGGTAAACAGTTCCACAGTTCCGAAATGACTAAGAAAGTCCCTTTACTGTACCTTGCCAATGACATCCTGCAAAACAGCAAGCGTAAAGGAAATGAGTTTGTCACCGAGTTTTGGAAGGTTCTTCCTTCAGCACTTAAGGAGATTGTCGGAAAAGGCGATGAACATGGAAATAATGTAGTTTCCAGATTGGTATGCTTCTTGCCATTTTGCTTCTGAACTTTTGACCCCCATACCCTAGCTTATGTAGGGACAGGGCACAGCACAAAAGGCAAAATTTCAGCCTACTTTTACTCTTGTTTTTCAGTGTCTGATCAACCTGTTGCTCGGAAATTATTGAGATAGTTTAACTGTCTGTTTCGGTAAAAAAAAAGAAGATATAGTAGTTTGACACTCTTGCTTAAATGGTTTGTAGGTTAAAATATGGGAAGAAAGGAAGGTTTTTGGATCTCGAACACAGAGCCTAAAAGATATAATGCTTGGAGAAGAGCTGCCACCACCACTGGAGTTTGGAAGAAAGCGAAGTCGTTCTGTCAGAATAGTTAAAAGAGACACGCGGTCCATAAGAACGGTGAGCATCGGTCCAAAAACGGTGACATGTTCCTCATAAAGCACTTTTGTTTGTATCCACTGATTACTTAATTGCTTTATCTTGCTTTCAGTATTACTTCTTGTTCTTAACACTGCTTTGTAACCAGAAATTGACCGTTGGAGGAACAGCTGAAAAAATAGTGTCAGCATTGCACTTGGTAGTCAGTGAGCATTCTACTGAAGATGAAGAAATGAGCAAATGCAAGTCTGCTGTTCACCATGTGCGAAAGATGGAAAAGGATGTTGACATGGCCCTTGCAAGAGGTAATCTAGTTCTCTATTGGAATGCAAAATTAACACGTCTGCATGGACTGCTCATTATGTTGACAATGAGCTTAGTACACCTCAATATCTATAAAAAGGGTGGATGATGAAGATATACTGAAGCCTGTGATTTAGTGATATTCAATAATTGAAAGAACAATGGTTGATTCTCAATCCAAGAGAGTGAAAAAAATATCATTTTTGCATTACTTTTACAGATAAAAAGGAATAAAATCATGCCTCCTGGGGGATCTGGTGTTTGAGGTAATGGGTGTAACAGCATGGAGAATTCGGGTTCGAATACCAGCTGGCATACTTGGTTGGCACCTATCTGCCCCAGCCTTTTGGACCGGATACCATAGAAACCTGTACTTTCCTGCTGTATAGGCAAGTTGGCCCGAACACCAATGAGATTAATAGAATTACACGGCTGAGATCTTGACAGAATGATAGATTAGACATCTCTTTATGGTCCTTTTTCCCAAACTTTGTTACTTATAAATTACAATTGGGAATTAAGAGCATATTATCTTGTGTTGCAGCAAAACATCCAAAACGAAAAACCTTGTCCAAAGAACTGGAGGAGGAAGAAAGGATGTTGAAACAATCCATTGAGAAACTAAAAGTTGTTGAGACCAATAGATTGACCCTTGTTTCACAGTTAAGGGAAGCATTAATTGAACAGGTAAGTAATAAATGCATCTTTTCAATCTTCCTATTCTTTTGGCATATATGGTACTGTACTTATCGTCCATCTCATTGTCTCTTAATTTTGTCAGGAATCTGAACTAGAGAGCGTTCGGACTCAGATACAGGTTTTTTTCTCACTCATTAATTTTAAGCTTATTACTTTGTTTTCTTACACTGCTATTAGTTATATGCTTTATCCTTGTCCCTTTTTTGAGTTTGCGGATGGGGTGGGATGTTGGTGTTGTTGGACGGTAGAAAACAGAATTGGAGTGAAGGAAGACTTCAATATGTGATACAATGAGAGGGAAAGGGAGGTGTTGGGTTCCATGCTGCTTCTCGAACACCTCCCCAAATAATTGGAAATTGGGGAGAGATGTGTGAACATAGTATGAAAATCGATGTTATTGACATTTCTTGTGTCCACACGGCGATACTCTAGACGCATAGTGGCATAAGACATGTGGATAAGATGGAAATTTGGATATACTCGAATCTTGAGATATATAGAATTTTTGATAGAAAGTGAATTTTATCAGCTGAAGCCACTGAGTTGTCATACTGATACACTGACTGGCAGTCTGTCTGGACTTGCTTTACGATATGGTTCTCTACCATGGAATGGTAATACAGTGGATGGGTTTGTATATCGTTCTGACCTTAGCCGAATGTTGCTTCTTCTTTCTGAGCATTCTAAATATTTAAGTGTGTTGCGTGATTTCTTAGTCAAAAGCACCAAGTTTATAATAATACAAACTAATTTTATCTATTGGATTTTCAGGTGGCGGAAGCACAGGCGGGGGAAGCCAGCAACATGCGAAAGTATCTGGATGATGAAGATTATGTGGGAGAAAGAAAGCCTTCGGGTACAACAACTACACCAGACATCTATGGAAAAGCAGGACAAACAAGCAAGAAGACAGCTGCAGCAATTGCAGCTGAGGTAGCTGACAAGCTTACAGCTTCTAGCTCCTCTCAGTATATCATGTCGTCCGTCCTCTCTACATTTGCTGCTGAGGCGGCAAAATCTGCTGGGCTTGCAAAACCTTCATCATATCTGGCCACCAACAGTTACATTTCACAACCAGAAAACGCTCTATCTGATTCAAATGCTTTAATGTCAGCACAGTTACATAATCCTCCCCCAAGTAACCCTTATCAGTCCATGCTGGCTCCTCATCCCACAGTGCATCAGGGTCAGTATCATTCACTTGCTAATCCAACATCCCAGCAGTATTTACAGCCATCAGCAGGAATGATGAGCCCTTATAGTTATGGGAGTATTGCTGCCTTGCCATCTGTACCACCTCCACCAGCACCTCCGTCGTATATGACTATGACACAGCAACCATTGTCGATGATGCAGCAGGGTGTAGCACAACAGCTACAAGCACCATTACCTCAACAACCTCCTCCCCCTCCTAATTTCCGTCCTGTCACCCCTGTCCAGCCTCCTGGAATGATGTACTATTCTCAACCATATCATTCACAACAATGAGAGAGGAGTACTCTTTTCAAGCTGACCATTACTTGTTGGTATCAGAAACAACAAATTTCTAGATGTGAACAATAGGAGGTTCTTTGGACAAATCATGAACCGACGCATAGTGTTATATACAGGGCAAGAGCAGCTGATAGTGCAGGTAATAGATTACCATTAGTGTTTATTTTTCCATCTTCAAGACAGTTTAGAAATTTCTGCGATGATGATAGTCTTCATCCGATGTTGTTATTGTTGATTCCTTCGGGATTCTTTCTGTTTTTCCTTTTCATCATACATGTAACATTAGCATGATGGCTGCTGAGAATTTTTGTATTACTAGTTAAACAGGATAGAAGAACTAGGTTTTTCTGTCTCCCATAAACTTGGTAAATGAAATAGCCAGCTTTGTTTTCATCACATTTCTGTTTTCGGTACAAATGTCAGTTATGAAATGCTAAGTCTAAGGGTGTGTTATGGAAGAACTTTTTTCAGTTTTCTCATATTCGATAGTTCAAAATTTTTGAAAAAAAAATAAAAATGTGTTTTTCTCTAGGAAAACAAGTGGCATTTTACATGTATTACGTCTTTTCCATCCTCCAACATGCCTTATCTTCACTCCATCCCCACCACCCCTTACCCCCCACACTCATCGCTATCATATACTATGTGTTTAGAAATTTGCCATGATTGTCTCCATTTATGTTATTTCTTTATTTATACTGCTTTGTACTAATCTTTCTTGAGTTAAGGATCTATCGAAAACTATATCTACTTCTAAAATAGTAGTAAGGTCTGTGCACCCCTTTCCTTTCAACAGACTCCACTTTATGGGATTATTATTGTCATTTAGCTACCTTAGTCTCATAGATGTGAGTATAATGGATGAGACTTCTCCTCCCTTAATCATAGATCTCGGTTTTGAACCACCCTGGTTATGAAAAAAGTTCTTAATAGGAAGTGCTACTCTTATAGGCCCTCCCTGACACAAATTCAGATTAGTCAAGTTATTGGGTACCGAGTGAGAGATAAAAAAAACAAAAAAAAAAAACTTTGATGTCGGTGTGAATTGCTTTCCATTAACCTAATGAGAGAAGCAAGCAGCTCCGGAGTTCATAAGGCTGAACTTGACTATTGCTTAAAAGAATTCTAGTATGAAAATGATGGCTGAGGTTCTGTTTTCTTATTATGTAAATGAAATATATTATTCATGTGGATGTCCACCCTGCATTACGAATAATTTGAAGGTAAAACTAGTTTAACCTGCCTGCCATCAAGAATTCAACAACAAAATAAGTGTCAATACATATAGGAGCTGCATTTGAAGGAAACACGATTTCTTTCACAATCCTGTGAGAGCACCGTATATTTCATTGATGCAACTCTTTATTTAATGGAGAACCAAGAAAAAACATTTGCTTATAAGGGACAGAAACCACACCTCACTGAGAAGTTAAAATGACGATACAAATCTAAGAATGCAGTATCAACACTTCATTCCTTTCCTGACAATGAAGTCTCTGATAAAAATTGGAAGATGGTACATGATTGCAGTAACAGTAGACAAATGGCCAATAGAAAACCAAGCTGGAGGTTTCTTCTTCAGCACCGCGTTCACGGTCCTCTTTGCAAATTCTTCTGCAGGAGTTGAATTTGGGCCTTGTGAGAACTGTGCTCGTGCCCGGATTGATTCTTCAAAATTCTTGTACAACTTCCACTCTGGCATTTGAGTGTAATTGGCAATGGCAGTGTCTCCAATGTGGGATGTCACAGCTCCAGGGACAACAGAGATGACATCAATGCCAAATGGCCTAAGTTCCAGTCTACAAATAGCGCATAGTAGAGCAATAAGGACTACAACATAAAAACGTACATATGCCATTCCAATGAGGAAAAATGTAAGTTAGTAGAAGTAATTGATCCGTACAGAAGCTTTGGTCATTGGAGTAAAGCAGCTTTGACAGGCATTACATGAACTCAACGTTGTCTGTCAGCTGTGGCATCAGGAAATGATAAAGACTTTTATTACCATCTAACCTATAGGGGATGATAATAAGTTAGTTGAAGAAATGATCTGTTAGAAGAGGATACAATCCCAAGCATCTGAACATCAGCCAGCATATCACCACAAAAGCATATTACAGGTCTTTCAATAGCATAACACCTAATTTAAGACTTCCATAATAGAGGTCTCAAGTTCCAAACCCCTTGCCTGTAACAGCAGGAGGTTGGCCTATTGGGTTGAGCTTGTTGCACGGGGCTTGCCTAGTGCAGTTGACCTCAACTCTGTGGTTTGCAAGCTATTGCACAAGAGCGAGGTTTAACCTGTGCACACCCAAAAGGATAGCGGCTGCAGGTTCACTTATCCAAAAAAAAAAAATTAAAAAAAAAAAAGCTCAACACCTAATCTTCTCTTACAACCTAGAGTTTGTATAAAAAGAATAACTTGGTGATTAATGAAGCATAGCCAACAACTAGCATCCTTCAATCACCGGCTTGCAGTAAGGTACATCAGCCAGTAACATCTGTGATGCGATATATATAGACATCCTAAGTTTTGAGAGCTATAATACTAGTATCACTGCCTGGGATTGGGTATTCAAGCTGACGAGGCCTTACAGGTAGATGCTATATAAGTGAGCATTCTTATTTTGTGCTGGAACACCTTAATCTACCCAATAACTTTTTCAATTTGATCTTGTTTTTCCTTTTCGCATTAACTGTCACATAATTAGAGAATAGAGATTCACAATGGTAAGGTTTGAGTATGGTCATAGAACCCTCACTCTGCGCAGATCATTAAGCATCCCATTTACCAGCACCCTCTGGTTGATTGAGTGAACCTCTCTTACCTAGAAGATTTTTACAGTTATTTTTTCCTAGATTTGCATTCATTTTCAAATTAAGCTAAGATTTTCCCAAAATTTAACATATGGACAATCTGAGACAGAGAAGAAATTTCAGATAACCAAAATGGTAATGATGGAGGCGGTAGCTGGAGATGGTAGAGGAGAAAGCAAGCAAATGAATGAGAAAGAAATCTTTTAGCTGAAGGAATGCACTAGAAAACTGTCGCAGGATTTTTGAGAAAAAGCCAACAGATAACCTTCTTCTGTTCCAAAATGAATATCATATTTTGACTCGGCAAGTACAACAAGAAGAGAATTGAAAAGAGAAGACTTTGTAGCTAAGAGGTAAGATGTGAAGCTATATTTACATGGATTCTTCATTTGCCTTGGCATACTGGTATTGAAATGCTGGTGTCGGTTACTTTGTGCCAAGTCTTCGAAATATTTTTAGAAGTAATAATAAGTTACATGAAACCATAGCAGATACTTGAAGACATCTGTATCGGATATGTCCAGTAGTCAAATCCATGTATCATAGATGATAGAGCATGTTACACTTATATTTTTTAGTTAAAAATTTATTAAAGAGAAATTTGTATAAAGAGTTGCAAAAGTAACCAGAGGTAAGATTTTGTGATACATAAATTTTGTTGTAAGATCAACTCTTTTTCTTTGGAAACTGAAAATCATTATTGGGATAGAAGTAGAACAAAAAGGAAATGGGACATTCAACTTGGCAAGAGTGAAATTCATCTTTTGTTTTAGTTAGAAAACTTAAGAACTTGATACAATAGCCTAATCAACTTGCAACATGGTACACCACAAATTCGAACAGTGCCTGCTTTTGTCACAAACTTGGTACTGATTAAGGTGTACAGTCCAGACTGATCCTTCCTATTTTGAACTATATGACTTAGTATGTAGCCAAACATATGCTCAGCTGTGTGCTCTCTAAAAGCTACTCCAAGGAAAGATTTATTGACTACTAATTGGTATTACAAAAAGATGCTTACAAAGTTGGAATATTTGATCACAGGAGGAAAACAAGGCCAGAAAGCTAATTTGATCTAAAAAATGAAGTTTGAACAGGTGATTTCTTATCCGGTGTAAAGGTAACACTACTGGAGCGAGAAGGTGGACATGTTCAAAGAAACTTTTCCGGCTGTCTGTACATCTTATGTAAAAAGCTGAATCATTCATCATAAGAGAATAACAAAGGCGAAGAATGTAGTGTCTCAAAGAGGTGAAATTAGAACAGGTAATACCCAAACAAATTTTATAAAAAAAATTAAGCAAATAACAATGGCACAATAAATAATGTAAAGTTTAAGAGTCAGTTTAGTAAAATTTATTTACAGAATTGCTAGCACTTCAACGAAGAATAAGCATCCAAAACAAAGTTAGTCATTGCATACAAACGTACCTCAAGGTATCAGTAAATGAATGTACAGCAGCTTTGGATGAACTATAAGCACCTGCCCATGGACCTGGAGACAAAGCACTACAACTTCCAACATTGACAATTTTCCCCTGTTTCCTGGATGCCATGTGCGGGACAACAGATTGAATTAACCTTATGGGACCTATGGAAATATAAAACAATGTCATAAACAAACACAAAAAAAGAAGCGAATAAAACTGCTGCCAGGGAAAAGTAAAAGAAAATAATAAAACAAAAGAAGTAAGAAAATGAGAGAAAAAATCATTTATTCCAGCTCCACCAGACTAAGATGGAAAATTAGTTATTTGGGAAAAGCAATGATTTCTTGTTATCAGGACAAAGAGTGTAGGATGTGAATACAGAAATATAAACCATGTGTAGTATAGGTTCAATCATTTTGCCAATATTTTTTTTCTAAAGAAGTTCAATCATCTTCTAACTCTCTTAGCATAATTTTAATTTATTACAACCATCATACATTGAAAACAAACTTTTCCTTTTGGTAGGTTCCAATAATGTGTTTACTTTCCCCAATAGAAGAGAATTCTAGCATGAACAACACTAAACATTCCCGACTTTACTTCTCAACAATTGTGACAATTCAAAGAAAATGTTAAATGTGCATTGGATATTTCCAACTTAACTGATAATGTCTCAAATGCAGGTTTATTTTTTTAAAAACACATAACAGGATGACAAAGAGTGTCGAAGATTACAGACAAGTGTCTAAAAGAATCGTGCATAATTCTATATTGAGAGACTTCATGTTACTAGTTCCAGAAGGAGGATATTAGAAGCAAGGAAATAGGGAATACTAAAAGATACAACACAATTAGTGAGAACAACACCAACAACAAGCTAATGATGTTAACGAGACACTCAATTATTCAGCATGCCACAACCAAATGGTTCAAGTGAATACAAAGATTACTGATTCCAATTATGTAGAGCGGAAAGAATGACAGTTGCTTCGAAAGTTTGTATTTGGTTAGTTACAAAGTCATTTTTCATTCCTTGCAAAGTAGTAAACCAATAATGCTTTGAAAAAAATAAATTTTGAATTCCCTGAACGCGGTAGGAAGGAAATGTATTGGTCAAATATTTTGGACAACATTTTCTCTAAGAAAAATAGCTCCTTGAAAATAAGGAAAATGAACTTCCTAATGAAAGTAGGGAAAACAAGCTCTTCTGTGACATTCCATATTAACTATGTCCTTCCCTCCATAGCTCCAAAACACACATCATCCCATCATCCATACTCCTACCTCCTATAGTATTTGCCTAAATTATATACAAATGTTTTTAGGATAATGATTTTTGCTTACCTACCGAACACAAACCCACTTATTTTCTAGAAAATATTTTTCAAGATAACACTTTCCTTCATACCAAACACATCCTAGATATTGGCTAAGTGGTTTGGAGGGTTCAAAATTCAAATCTTAGGCACTATATTTTTATTTTTCGAACCTCCTTAGTGAAAATCCTGAATTCGTCGCACATGTGAGTTGCCAACCAAACCATGGGGACCATATTGCTCTGTGGTCCAAATCAATCCAGTAAAACCAAGAGCTCAGCTTACCCATGGATGCCCCACCAGCCTCCTGAGCTATCAAAATACGAGAATGTAAGCTGGTTGTTCACACTGTTTAACCATTTATTGTTCTCACTTCTCATCAATTTAAAGCAAGAAAAATCACCCATCAAGAACTTCAATAAACAAAATTAGCATATAAACACACACACCCCAAGATCAATTGGCATAATAACAAACACTTGAACTACAATTTCAAGGGTGAAACATAAAGGGATATTGAAAGTTAAATAGTAATACGATGCATACCAAAAACATTGGTATTGAAGGTATGTTGAATAGAAGATAAAGGGAGTTCAGCAAGAGGCCCAACACACTGTACACCAGCGTTATTAACAAGAACATCAATTCGCCCAAATTTGTCAAGAACTTTTGTGAGTACATTGGCCATATTTTGTTCAGATAAAACATCAAGTTCTTGAAGAAAGAATCGTGGGTCATTTTGGAAATCGGACATGGATGTAAGGGATCGAGCTGTAGCTACAACCAGGCAATTCTTAGCAGCAAAAGCTCGAGCTAGCTCATGCCCTATTCCGCCATTTGAGCAGCCAGTTATCAGAACTACTTCTCTGTTTTCCACCTCCATGACAGATAAAGGTTTGGGGATTTTCTCTGTAAAGAAGATTGGAATTTTGTCAGCTATGAAGATTTGATGACAATAATATAGTTGTACATAGCTTTCGCAGATTTGACTCTTTGATACCCTTTTTTCGTGACATATAAGCTATAATAATTTTAATTAGTTTGAGGTTTAATTATTTTATGTATATAATGAAATAATTTATTTTGAGATAACATATAAAAGTATGATTCGTTAAAGTGAGATAAATGTTATTGGGAGTGTTATTTCAATATAGCCGTTATTTCAATATAGCCCTACAGTGCACATGCAAATTTAATATGTTGATGATGAATATCATATATTGAATGGAAAATTTAAAATAAAAATAAAAATTGAATGGAGCCCATTTCTCGAATGGTGATTATATAAATATGGGATTTGTACACGTCTATCTTTTTCAATTTTCATGATCCATGTTTAATTGAATACTCATTAATTTATTATACAAAAAATTCATTTGATCCAAAATTTTCAAAATAGCTTTTTTGTTTGAGTTAATTGTTTTTATTGATTATCATCCTAGTTTGAGACTCAATATAGTACTATGACTTTTCAATAACGGAGAAATCTTAAGAGAGAGAAAATCTAGGAATCAATAGATTTGCACCCACATATTATTTTATCAATCAATTAAATTATTTTAACTGAAATCAAACACGTCTTGTAGAGTTTTAATTAAAATTGAACGCATATTCTAAAGTCCCACCAAATGAGCAACTAACAAACATATAGCAAAAGATGTTGACATTCCATTAATCCATTTCAGTAACAGCTACAATGATGCTTTTTTATCAGCAATATTATTAGACTAAACATTGCATAATATAGGCAACACTAGCAGACCATGTAAGTTGATAAAAATATACATATGGATATCATTTTTAACAAAAGAAATCACAAAAATTGTCTGAAGTGTTTTACATGACCAAATAATGATACCAATATAATTCCTATATTTTACTCTTTTTCTCAGCAGTAATTATGTAATTCGATCTGAAGATGCCTTAGAGTTTTATCAAGTATTTCAATCTTAATTCACTTCTCTTTAATTATCTGTTACAAATCCTATTATTACTTGGAATGACGATTTTAATTATAAACAATATCAAAGACCAATTCGATCACCACTAATCTTATATTATATTTTTAATTTTCCAATCTTACAAGAATTCGTTCTGATTCATGTGTTTTGAAAAGTTTATTTATTTATTTATTTATTATCTTTTTCAATAATCATCCATTTTTAATTTAATTTGCAAAAAAAAAAAAACGGTTAGTCTAAAGATATATTAATTATTATTTTTTCGAAATTATCCTTTTCTTTAATAGTTTTTTCAACTATCTTTGATTTTTTGAAAAAATTGAAGAGTAGCAAAGGAATAATATTTGACAAATTGTCCTTTAATTATTGTTATTAACTACTCCTTCTAGTCTATAATAATTGATTTTTTAAAGCTTTTTTCCAACATTACGTTCAAAATAAGTTAATTATTTAATGTTTAAGAGAGTTATCAAAAGTTTCTTTCGTTTTATCCATTATTTACATTTTCTAGTTGATAAACTCAAGATAATTAATTACATATATTTGCTTTAAATTATTTCTATTTTTAAAAATAATTTTAAAATAACTAAAAACAAAAAAATGAAAAGTAACTACGTGCCCAACTTTTAATTGTTATGTTATCTTTTTCGAAAGTTAATTTGACTAATTTTTAAAGTTAAATTACATTATATTAATTCGATATTTTAAACAAAAAATTTAGATATTCAAAACCTATACAAAAAGTACTAAAAGTGGTAATTTTTTGCATATCAATATGATAAAAAAAAATATCATAAAATATTAATCAAACTTCTTATCATTTCATTCTTAAAATATAAAGAAATTATGATAATTAAAAATGGACGAGGAAAAGTAGACTTATTTATTTTCTATAGTTATTGCCTTATAGGTAAGTAAACTGCCTCTATCCCAACACTGAATCACGATGTAGATTACAATTTTTGCAGCATTTAATACACTGAACACTATTTCTTCTCTTCATTTTTTACTAGTCATGGTTAAACTTAACACGCTTCATAGAAAAATAATAATCTCGTGCTTTTATTTATTCCCAAGTTAATGTTAAAAGTAAAGATAGTTACTCCCTCCATTTCATATATTGAATTTTTAAGGTATTTTTCATTTTTCAAATTAACTTAATTGTTCAGTTTTCAAGACTATTTTTAGAGTGTTCTTTTAATTTTACCCTTCACTTGGATTTTCAATATGATGACTTCAATAAATTTGACAATAATTAATAAGGGTAAAAATGAAAAACTATGTTCAATTTATATCTTAATCTACTTTTCTTAAAGGGGGTGAAACACCTTAAAAATTCAATTAATATGGAATGAAGGGAGTATTATTCAAAAGAGTTTGGATAAGTGTAAAACTTTACTATTAAAGAAAAGGTCAAATATGTAAAAAGACTTCAAACATTTATCTTGAGTTTTGAAGAAAAAAATCATTTAGTATGAAATAGTAGAGTAATTTGAATAGTAAGTAATCAATGTTAAAAATAAAAAATAATTATTTTTTTCTTTAATAAGTAATCACCATTTATATTATAACAAATAAAAATAAAATTTTCTTTTTAAAATAATAATAAACAAATAAAAATAAACCAAACCAGTAACAACAAATAAATCAAGATGACTCCCAATAATGATGTGATTAAACACAATATTTTCAAAATATTTTTTTTTTTGAAAAACTTATGGCCAAATGGGAGACATATACTTCCTCCGTTCGCTTCTAATTGTCATGCATTTTCCGAAAGTTAAATTGATTTATTTTCAAAGGTAAATTAAATTACATTAATTCAATATTTTTTTTTTAAAAAAAATTAGATATTTAAAAACTATACGAAAAGTACTATAAATTATAATTTTTTACATATCAATATGATGAAAATATATATCATAAAATATTAATCAAAGCTCTTATTATTTGACTTAAAAAAAAGTATTACATTTAATTGTTAATAATGACAGTGTACTTTTATTCAATTATAAGAGCTCGTTGTCTGCCCAATTGTCTATATTTTTTATTTTTATTAATTATAAAGCTCTCTTTTGAAGTCGAGAAGGTTCAGCCGTTCAGGGGCTTATATATAAAATTAAATTGGTGCAGCAAATCAGGAGTTGGTGATATTAAGAGATGAAATAGATAAAATTATTCTATCAGAATAGTTATATATTAAATATTTTATTTTATTTTATTGTTATAATATAAATGGTGAAAAAAATGATCTTAAAATTAACAAATAACTCTAACCAAATATAAAATAAAATAATTCTTTATTTTATTCCAAAAATATTACTTCTTACATTTTAAAAAAATCGACTTAATTTGACTTGATACGGAGTTTAGAATCAAGTACGCCGAACATCTCTTTCCTTAAATATCTTAGGAAGTGAAGAAGACGGATTTAAAATTCATTTGGTAATCTTCTCCTAAAAGTAGGCATTTTTCTAAGGCATTGATATGATGACTTTTTTAACTACACGTGTTTTAGGGAGTTGAACGTCTTATTCGTATAAATGGCCTATGTAAATATAAGTCAGAAGCAAAAAGAAAATAAAGAGGATTTTTCGATATGTCAAATGTAACAAAATATTTTTTTCATTTTGTAGCCTTAAACATGCTATATGGATAGCTGAAATTAAAATGTTACAAAAAAAATGAGTCATTCTTTTTAAAATAAATTAAAAAAGGAAGAAAATCATTCTTTTTTAAACAGGAGAGGGGGAGTATTTCTTATCTTTCATACCAAATGACTCCAAGTATTTCTTATCTTTTATACCAAATGACTCCAATTAAAAATTGATTGGCACAATATATTAGCAAGCCTATTTGGGTTGACTTTTCGATTTTGACGTATTTTGTCATTTTAGCTTTAAACTAAATGCTTATAAACACTTTTTAAACTTATTTTAATACTACAAAATTACTTAAAATCTATTTTAACTTAAAAACATTTAAACTAAGTCAATCCAAACAGGCTTGAAAATACAATTTGCATGAACTAGCCATGCTTTACCAAAACAATGGCAATGAATGACCATTTCACATGCATTAATTAGGCCATTAAAATTTGTACCCCATGTGACACATAAATCAGCCTATTACAAATAGCAGGACATAGGGCGCTTTAAATGAGTGGTTGGCGTTGAAATTAAAAACATTAATATGAATTGAAATAGAAATTGGGTAAGATCCTGATCCGCTTAAATTTACTTTGGGTTCAAATAAGCTTAAAAATAGATTGAGTTTTGACCCGATGTAACAACTTGTTCCCGTTGTTATAGAAAAGCCAATGAGAAAAGAATTTGGGCCAGAAAACTATTGAATGGAGACTTAAAAAATTGTAGCCTAGTTCAGACTTGGACGAAATCTGAGTCAGGTGAGGTCTAGGGAAATCTGATAATGAATGGGAGATCTAATTGTGAATTTGATCACATGAGTGGATAGCTAAGACGTTAAGGAGCTCGTACGACTTTACAGAATAGAATTCGGGCGAGTAGAACTCTCGAAATTGATCTTGACGTGAAAGGGTAGTTTCTGAACGTCATGGGTTGAAGGCGTGTTGTGAAATGGGAGCTTGGAACTCAAATTCCGAGCTTCTGTCTCCGTATAAGCAATCGGGGAGAGATTATTCCCGCCAAGGCAGGGTCGTTGTGGTGGGAAGGGGACCACCGTAGCGGGCTAGTAGCGAATTAAGTCGGGAAAAAACCCCAATTTCGTTATTTTTCTACAAACTTCGTTCTTAAGAGCTAGGAGACGACCCAGGGCGAATTCTTGACAACTTTCCATGACTTTTGGTACTAAAGACTAAGAATAAGCGAAAAGAATCCGGAAAGGGAAGGCTCAAGTGTCTTAGGAGGATTCAAGCTTGGTTTCGAGGTAGGTGATGGTTTGATTTCCTGTTTGTGTGATATATGCTTGTTGATTACTACATTGTATGCATGCGCGTTTGTGAATAGGGAAATGTG